AGTAAGTGTTTAATATTAAAAACTCGTATACCTTCATGATATGATTATCTGTATATTATATTGTCTTTAAATCTAAAATACTGATTTTTTTATGTGACAGATCCACATTTAGAGCCTCACATATTGGAAAAAATAAAAAGTCTAGATAGGAATGTGTTTGAAAGTTTTGCATTTATCACCGCAACACGTCTTGCCACGCATACCACCGATTGGCAACTGTAGTTATATACTTCTCCAAATCTTCTTCCACAACTTTACTCTAGTGCCGTATTCACTTCACTCTAATGCTATCCCCATCGTGAGAAATCAACTCTGTAGTTCAGGCTGCTTATCTCTGGTGCACGCACTCACCTATACTCAGTACAGAATCCTTAACTATTTGCCTGTCATAAAATTGAATTTGATTCCAAAACTATATCAAGAATGTAGATGAGTCTAAGTTGAGAATAACATAACAATTCACTCATATATACATCCATCTAATTATACTAGAATATTTCCAAATGAGTTCATTATGAAATGATAAAGAAGGTGAAAAATATATCAATTCAGAAATATAAAAACATCTGAATTGATCTTATACTTATACTCACTAGACCTCAAAATCAGGCCACTTTTTGCTAACCCGACTCGGCCCACATTGGGTCTTGAATATTGTAAGTCCGCCCAGTTCATTCTTATTTAAGTTTAGCTCGGCCCGGCCCAGCCCGCCCCAACAGTGACTAGAAACGTTTTAACTATATATAAAAAGTAGTTCATAAGAAATTGTGTTATGTTGCGCCTGGAAAGAGCTATATTAATGATAAAACATTATGTGAATCTTGAGGGTGTGGGTGTGGGTGAGCGTGTGGGTGCTTCTTCTTCTCTCATACCCACCCCACGCCCACCTACACCCACACCCACACCCACCGCACACTCACCGCACACCCACATCCACACCCACACCCACGTCGTGTGGGCCGACCCATTTCAAGGTCCGATACTTACTACTTTCTATCATCTCTCTGTCCTCATAAAGTGTAGAGGCAACAAGGCTTATCTGATGATACTAAACAAGATCTTGAGTAGAGAATAATGCTGTTCATATGAATTACAGATAGTGGTGGCATTTTGATGATCTGATCGTGCTAGATAAGTATCTGGACTACTTCGATGAGATTAGGTTGCAGTGATTTATCCAGCAGGGGGAGGGGGCACGAGGCTTTTTGCCCTCTCGGAGGGTATCTTTGCCTATTCCCCTCTCGGAATTCAGAAAAATTTGAGGGTGGGTGTGGGTGTTAAGTAAACACAGTATCCACACCCATCCTTGAAACTTGTTTAGAATAAAAATAAAAACAAGAAGATTTTTTCATTTTGTAATTGGAACCGGAGCTGAGTTGGAGTCGGTAGAAGTCGTGGCTGTCTAGGCCTGATTTTATCTGTAAATATATCATATATATGTACATATATATTTATGCAATTACTATACATTTTTTAGAAAAGGTTTTCATGACCTACTGGAAACGACTAGGGACTACTATGACCAATAGCTCCACTCTCACTCACCTCCACATGATGCGCTCTTTGAGGGTATAACAGTTTCACCCACAAGTTCACATCCACACTCACACCACCCACATCTATCCTTCGTCAAAATGTATCCTGTTCTTGCAAATAAAGTCATGAGAGTTAACGAAAAAAGTGAGAGAAAATGCTTGTCTTCAGTAGAATGAATACTGACGTATAAGGTGATGTATGTTAGGTAAAAAGAAAAAGATAAGTTTTTCCTCAGTTTTAATATATATGTAGACACACACATCCCTGTCAGTAAGGAAAAAATGGAGAAGGCAAATACTTTTTCAGCTTTTCTTACTTAAATGCTCGTATATTATCTTCAAGGCTTCTACATTGAGCGTCATTTTCTTTGATTTTTATGTTATTTAATATCATCGATTGTGCTTACGAAAGATCATTAATTACAACGATGGATTTGCATTATTATCATATGAATTGAGAGTATTTTCTTTTTTTTAATAGGAAAATCTATTGCTTTAAAGGTATAATATAATCTTTATTATTTCAGATAGTTTTTATGTAATATCAAAGTAATAGTATTTTATACGGGAGAAATTCTATGCAATGAGAGTTTTTTATATATCATCTTTTTCCGAATTCTTTTAGATTTAACTTCATAACATTGCAAAATTTTGACGAAGGTTTACGAATGGATACAAACAACAGAATAAGTGTTTGTGATATAATTTATTACGAAAAAAACAAAAACTAATTCGTTTTTTTTTGTCTTTACTTTGTAGCCTCAATCAGTTAATAACGATATAAGTGAAATACAACCTACTCAATCGACAAGATTGTGCGAGTATTCTAATCTTTAGTAAATGAAAAGTGATGTTTTTATTTTAGACGTGTGTGCATTCGAAGTAAATTGATGTGGATCATATTTATTATTGTGGTAATAACGATCATTACTATTCCAACAGCTATTATTCTCACGAGAAAGAGAAATGTTGTTGAAACAAATTTAACAACAATAATGATGACAACAGGAGAAGGGTCAACAACATTGATGTTAACAACAACAAAATCATCAACAACAACAGCAGAACCAGGAACAATAACTACAACAACAACAGAACCAGTATTAACAATAAAAGAAGCAGGTATGTCTGTGTTCAAAGAGAGATAAAAAGAAGTTGATCCATTACTTATAGTAACTTATAACAGGCTATTTAATAAAAAAACATTAATCATATATTGTTAGTTGATTCTTACCTGTCTAATCTGATTGAAGTCTCAGATATTTCATTATCCTTTATAAGAAAGAATAAATTTAAAAACCCTTTATCTTTATCTTTATAAAATAAAAAAACTTATTTTCTAGGATATCCTGTTTTTTCTATGTAACTTACAAAAAAAGTCAGATGCCATAGATATAAATAAAGTATATGAAAAAGTATTTTTCAAGTATGATCTTTATTTTTTTATAATATCACATAACGATGTGAGGATAGTGATAAGAAAGAATATCTATCCTATTGCTATGCTAGGGATATATCTCATTATCTACTATAGAAAGAAATCTTTTTTTTATTCTTTTTTTTGGAAATATTAGGAGTCTATTTATGTTTGTCTGATAAAATAAAGATAAAGTAATTTCTCTAATTGTAATAATAGCAAAGGTCAAAAATTAACGATTGATGGTGTTTCTGATGATTCTGTCTTTTGTATAAGAATATGTTATTTATTAGTTTTTACTTTATTTTTGCTCTATTTGGTGTGATGAAAAATGAGTGCTCATTGTGACGCATGTCTACATCGAGCAAGTAGAAATGTGTATTCTTTCGTAAATAACTTTATCGCTTGTAATGAGTCCGATGTGGGTTTGGATGTAGATGAGGGTATCACAGACACAATACGCATACGCTCCCACCCAAACCTACACCGTTATGTGTAAATTAGATGATTACTACATTCGAATATTCCTTTCTAGTGTGGGTACTTACTGGCAGCATGTACCGTCCACGAATATATCACGCACAAGTCACATTGGAAAACGGAAATGTCTTAGTTGCTGGTGGAGCTGCTGTTGGTACCACTGTATTCAGTACCGCAGAAGTGTACCATTCATCCACGGGACTCTGGACAACTACTGGCGAAATGAAAACTGCACGATTCCTTCAAACAGCATCCATATTGCCAAACGGAAATGTCTTAGTTGTTGGTGGAGCCGCTAATATTGAAACCCCATTGAGTAGTGCAGAAGTGTACAACCCATCCACGGGACTCTGGACAACTACTGGCAACATGAGCACTGAACGATATTTTCACACAGCATCCATATTGCCAAATGGAAACGTCTTAGTTGTTGGTGGAACCGCTGATGGTTATACCGGATTGAATAGTGCAGAAGTGTACAACCCATCCACAGGAGTCTGGGCAACTACTGGTAACATGAGCACTGAACGGTATCTTCACACAGCATCCATATTGCCAAA